ACGATTGCAGCAGCGCGGCGCGACCCGACAACACCCATTGTCAGGGCGGGTGACCACGACCTTCGAGACATGTTGCAGCGACCGATGGAGTAACTTGTCTATCATACCAGAGTGTTACACCAGATAGTACGTGTGAAAATGACGTTCATGCTGTAAGCATGACGCCTGAATATTGATCTAGAGCGAAACCTGCCAGCACATCGCAAGCGCTCGCATTTGCTCCAGATCTGCCCGCTCGGGGACAGAACATTGCCCTATTATTCAATCGACTGTAATCCCACTATGACCTAGCGGTGACCTTTAATCGACCTGACCTGACCGGGCGCGGCCCGTGGTCCAACTCTGCGCCAAAGTCGTGCCGGGCGGCTGGGGTCGTGACCGGCGCGCACGGGCCCGGAGGGCGGGGTGTACCAGGTACCGGGACCCCGCCGACCCCGCTCCCACCCCGGAGCGGAGGGGGGGGGGGGGCACCTCGGTGACAGATTGGTGGCGCGGCGGACAGTTAGCCGGTCGGACCATGTGCAGGGACCCTGCAGGGCAGCCGCTATCTGATCAGAGGCCGGCCGGCCCGGTCCGAGGAGAAACAAAGAACTCCGCGCGCAGCGTGAACCGGGCACACTACTGTGCAGAGCAGAGGAGAAAAAGGCCCTACAAAATGCACAGTCATTACATCTTGCAACAGCACTGATCTCCCATATTGATTGGAATAAAATGAAGAAAAAATACTACAGAAATGCATATTTCCAAATTTGTGAGGCTTCCATGCATCGGTGGAAGTTTGGATTTATGGTAAACCAGTTACACCAATTAGCTGCTTTCAATAGCTAGCAATCGTCGGAAAAAAAAACAGCATCGGAGAAACATTCGGGGTTATGATGCAGCTGGTGACGCCAAAATTTGTCCACTTCGCAATTTACAAACCATATGAGAAGGTAAAAAAACTGAATAGAGGATTGATATTCAGCATTGCGGCAAGAGCACCAAGTAGCCGCGCTTGATTCACGCCGCAGAGCTCCGGTGACGTCTGAATAACACATGAGGACATTAAAAACAACAGAAAAGAAGAACAGAAGACATAGACCTCTGCATACCGGTATACAGGTGGTCTACGTCCAAGACAAAGGGTGTATATAAAAAGGAAAAATCAGAGATAATTGCAAAACAACTCCAGCACTTGAGATGACAAACATAATTGTACAGTCTGTCTTAAAAGTACTGCGCAAAGTAACGGAGTATCCATCAAGCCTGACCGAGGAAGGACTGCTAAATATGAGTCACCGAAGCAGTGGATATCCTCGCCCATTCCCCGGGTCGATTGGTACTGGTACTGGTATTTGTGGCTTACGGGCCACCACAGCGTCCTGTATTTGGGCCCGGTTCTGTCGTCCGTCTTCGTTGTTGGTCCGACGTCCGTTGTCTTGCAGTGTTCGTCGTCTTCTTTGGCTCGAAAGGGTGGGGTTCGGTGACTTTCAAATTATAACAGGCCCTTCCTCGGTCAAGCTTGATGGATACAAGCCTGACCGAGGAAGGACTGCTAAATTTGAGTCACCGAAGCAGTGGATATCCTCGCCCATTCCTCGGGTCGATTGGTTCGGTGACTTTCAAATTATAACAGGCCCTTCCTCGGTCAAGCTTGATGGATCCACCGTCACTTTGCGCGGTACTTTTAAGACAGACTGTACATCAACAAGTCCTCACCTGCAGAACACCGTCCCACGTCTGGATGCCGTCGCTGGATTTGACCGGAATGGTGCCCCCCGGATTCAATCTTGGTCCGCAGCTGACCACGGGCCTTTCGGTTCGGGTGCTTGTCCTGGGAGTCGCTCCGAGTCTGCGCCTCGTGGGGCGAGAATATCCTGTAGAACACAGGGAAGGAGACGAGGGACGTCAGAGCATGATCTGTACTGTATGCCACGGTCAGAAAGGAAATAGCTATGCAAATGCTAAGCAGATGGGTATGGCGAACAAGGAAGACAACAGGCGAACAGCACGCTCGTTGAAAGAGCGCGACTATGCTGACGCCTAGTCGATTTCGTCTTCGCTGAAGTAACTAGTGATGTCTCTTTGCGATATCATATAGTAGATGCAAGCCCTACATTTAGCTAAAACCGCACTGACTTGCAAACAAATTTTCCAGAAGCGGACTCATTGCATCGATAAGATCAAGCCACGGGGAGAAAACTGACGGGGCCACATTTTCGGGCACAATCCAAAATACGTTCTCACGAATTGTGACTAATCTGTGGGGCGGCTCTCCGGGAGGAAAACTGCCGACTTGGGCGTGGCAGTCAGTGCCAGCGGCCGGCGGTCGGAACAGCGAACGGGCTGATCTGTCAGTCACGGCCGCTCGATTTCTCATGCGGAGGCGGCTATCAGCGCGACACTTGGCACTGAGCCTGACATTGGAGCCCGCATTGGGGAAATGTCACTAGCAAATTGTCCTTCATGCATCGCATTAAAATGATTATTTATCTTATGAGTTAAAACAACGCAGTGCGTCGACAGCAGAGCCTACAAAGTATCTCTACGTGTAAAGAGACAATACAGACAGGACACGGGTCGCCAGTGGCGAGGGGACCGAACGGGCCCCGCTGCTACCACCTTTTCCCAGCCCACCGCGACCCACGCCGTCCGCCTGGCGGCCAGCGACCAAAGCTGCAGTACCTGGCGTCTCCGCAGGGCGCTGTGTTGATATACAGGTGGAACTGGACGTTCTCCTTGAGCCGGTAACCGCGGCCCTCCGGTCGCGGCTCGAAGATGCTCTGTCCCTCGGTCTCTGTAAGATAGAGGGACGGGACACATGAGGAGTAAGACCGACTGCCGATGTCAACAGGACTGGTTACATCCTGCTTCGACGGTCTGAGATAGTGGCCGGCCTGGAATGGGCGGAGAGCTACACGCATTTCAGGCGGCAATCAAAATTTTCATGAAAAGGAAAAAAAAAAAACATTGAAGCCACCAGGCGCATCTACTTCGCCACAATAGAGACAGAGCTGATGCTGGGCTGGACGTGGTCTGTGGATGTTAAATACCTATTTGACTAAGATGGGAGGGTTACATTGATCCAAAAAGAGAAAAAAACATAACTCATAAGCCATTGTAATGTAGTTGCCCGTACTCCAAATCTGGATATTGTGTTATAGCGTGCAAGTAGCGAATCTTGTTGCTCTATCAACACAGCCGTATATGGCCTCACAGCCCAGCGCCCAAATGACCTTTAGTGGCATAGGGGCTCGACAGCTGCGATACTGGGCGACAGACGACCTTTTTACACCGCTCCCATGGGGTCACAGTGCTATTGGCGCCCCCATAAAACTGCCACCGACCCCAACTGCAAGTAACACCAATAAAACGGCGACCCACCGACCGCCATGCAGTGACGATAAAACGAGCAGTCGCGTGATCACATGGTGGTGCCGCTCCCGCCCGTCGATTGTGAGCTTCCAGTTGAGGTGCGGAGCGGCCATCTATTCAGACCTAATTGGTCTATTTTAGCGCAGATACATTAGAACATGACATTGGAATAGACATTTCAGGTGCCTAATTTCAGCAGATTGCAGAGTTCAGAGCTGCATTGGACAGCTGCTGATAATTGCCTGGATGAATTCCTGGCCTATCGTCGCTTATTCAACCAAAGGCAAGGCGGACTAAATTTAGACCAGCACCGCGCCTCGTAAAGGTATCCCGTTGTCCTTGACTGTTACGCAAATGGAATAACGGATCAGTTGTCGGTGTCAAGGGCATGGTCCGCTATTAGCTATTCCACTTCTGTCGACGTGCGTGCGGTTACTTTCACTGTCCGGTTCCGAGTCGTGCGGCACAGCATGCTCCCAGGCGTCCACCACCAGTGCCATCTAGCGGCAGAAGCCGGAACCTTCGACCAGCACCGCGCCGTGCGATACCGCCGCGCCCGCGGCAGGCTGCGACGGCAAAACGGGATAGCCGAACCGGGGAAACAGACAGGAAGACAGCCTATCTGCAGCCGCCATCAGCGTCCTAACTCAGTCTCTCTCTCGGCGCCGGCGGCGGCCCGTGAAACGTGACCGGTCGGCGCGGTCACGGCGGAAATGAGACGGTCCCGTCCCTGCTCCGGTGACCGGCCGATGATGGCGAATCACACACCGCCGCCCGCCGACGGTCCACAAAACGACGACCGAGCTCACCGGAGACACTGACGACAGGTCAAAATCCGCATATCGACAGCTGTTGGTGGTTTAACCGAACCGATTTTACGACGCTTTCCGGCGTAGAAGACCTAACGCTTATATTCTGCGAACCGAAACTGCAAATCGCCAGCAAGGCAGGATGGGCGGTGAATGCTTAAACTCTCCATTTTCCCTTTACTCTCAACCTCCTTCCAACCATCTGCCCTCGATGCGGCACCGTAAAGCTACCCTACGGCCTACACTGCACCTGTTAGTCGCCGTAACAAAGCACCTGCCAATTGGTCGCAACGCCCGCTGATTGCTCCATCCCACCGAGTGATCCATCTCAACACATCAGTGTTGAGCCGATCCGGCCTCTCCACAAAACCTTCGTCCTGTCAAGGGACCGCGTCCTGTCCGTGCCGGCGCCCGTTCGCTCAGCCCGCCCGGCGCCCCACCCGGGTGACACATGGAGTAGGGTGTCCCCCCTCCCCGGGTCGGCAGGGTCGGGTCGGGTCGGATCCCGCAGTGCCGACGGACGACCGCGGCACATGCCAAAGTCAACAGCCGGGGACCGCACTCTGCGCCCGCCGCCGCCACCGCCTCCCCACGGCCGGGCGGTGCATCAGACTGTGAGAGAGGCGGGTGGCACAGTGCGCCACGGCACGGAACGGGAGGGCCACAGAACGACACGGCACGACACGGCACGGAACAGCTTCCTCAGGCAGCCCGGGGGCGAGAGAATTCGAGGGAGAGTAGCCGGCCCCCACAACAATTTCAACAGCTACTTCAGGTTAGGTCGAGAGAATCCACACTCGACTCACGTATCTAGCAAATTAACGAATAAAAACAAAACCAGCCTCTCTTGATAAGCTTGAAGATGAAACAAGCACCGACAAAGTCAGCTAGATTGCCCGCAGCTGTTTGTGATGCTATCCAACCCACGGTTATCAATCCACCGTTGCTTTTATGCCGCCTCCCCCCCCCCCAGCGGAAGGTGGAGAACGTCAGCGCACCTCACCCCTCCCCACGGATACGAGGAGCCCGACCAGCGGAAGTGATCGGTTCCGGTGGCCGCCGGCCGACCGATCAGAGATCGTCAATGACCCGTGTCGCAGACGCGCAGAGGGACCGGGACGAGGGGCGGGACGGGGATGATAGTGACCTATCGAGGTTCAGACGAGGGCTTCGGCTCTGCACCACGTCTAGAGAGATGCAAAGAACAGCAACCTATCTGTATTGGAAGCCATAGCTAACAGCCACAGGCAACAGCACGACGAGACCCAGAGGACAGAGACGTGCTACAGTATTGGCTTCAGCTAAACACCTCCAGTCGGGCTCCTGAGAGCACCGAATTGGCTGTTTCCGCTAATTTCCATCTCCTACATCCACGCCCCGGAGAGCTGACTGACCTGGCTGCAGCAGCAGCTCCAGCTAACTGTCCATCACATCCATCAAGCCCTGTCACCACTGACCTGGCTGCAGCAGCAGTTCCAGCTGGCCGTAGAGGAAGTCGAGCAGGCAGCGGCGCGCGATCACCTCGGCGTGGCAGTCGTTCAGGCTGTTACCGCCCACGCTCATGTGCTCGCCGTTGATGCACTTTGTGCCGGTGGTGACCGAGATGACCTTGACCTCGGACATCTGCGGCCCGGTGGTCATCACCAGGCCGGCCAGCACCTTACGCCGACTGTGAGACTGTTGGTTCTCCATCAGCGTCTGGAACTGCTGGTTCACAACCCTGCGAGAAGAGACACAGGACCATAAGAGTGAGCAGGAATCCGGCTAGCCCGCGTCTGTAGGTGAGGAAAGAACAAGCTAAGCCAATCTGAACTTTCTCAACTCGAGAGTTTCATAAGTTTAGAGATGTAAATAATGAAATCAATTACGGATAAATAAACTATCAAACTAACCCAGCACTTAATTAAGCTGGACGAAGACGTCAGCCATGCGCCATAAAGCGTTAGGGAATTCAGAGCTCTGTAGCCTCTGAATACACAAGCAGCAATTTCGTGCCCTGTCCAACCGAATGACTGTTTTCAGCATGTGACGTGTTCCCAAACAACGCATACATTCTAACCAGCACCAGCCAGGCTCGCATCACTGAGTAAATCAATACTCTGCGCCGGGTGACATTCGCGCGATGATTCAATTGTTCGGCCGCACCGCACCGCAGTCAACATATCATCCCGATACACAATGGGACCGCTGCCGGGGAAAACAGTGGCTCACACTGGGCTCGAAAGACGAACATGATCGACGAACTACATCAAACAAACAAAATAGAATATCAATTACCACCTTGAATGAAATAAGAACTCATGTTACGACTCCGCGGGATTTTTACACACACCATTCTATCGGCTCGCCTTAACAAATCGGCCAGAAGGCGATTAGTCCTAGTCCACCACTCACTTGGATATGTGATCGGCGACCGTCTGTGGGAAGCTCATGTGCTCGCACAGGTCGGCCGTGGAGCCGTACGGCGAGTCCGAGCCGCCGCACGACGTGTAGTTGACGAACGAGTAGTTGTACAGCTTGCTGAGCGCAGCCTTGGCCGCCGCCGCCTTCCCCAGCCGCTTACTGGGTCCTGGTGGAGGAAGGTGCAGCCACGAGTCAATCAGTGGAGACAGATCATCGCTTGGCTGACACATTCAATGGGTGGAAAATGACGAGAAAAAATATGAGATCGAAATATGAAAATATGTGTCACGGATCGCATGCCGTCGATAAGCGAAGTAAACGATTATCATTTAAGTGATAATTGCGAACAAGTGCATGGTCTGACTGAATTCAAGCGACGCACAACCGAATTCTTCTGTCTGACACAACTACATATAAGGACACACAATCGGCCAAGGCCACGCTCCTCCCACCCCCGGCGGCCGACCTGGACATCCATCAGGTCGCAGCGCCGCTCCGATAACCTGGTTACGCATGCACGGTCGGCTCCATTAGCTGGGAACCGGCCGCTAACGCGAACGGATCGGCTTCCTATCGGCCGGCGGCGGCCCCCTGTGTCGGTACAGCCGGACAGAGACAGCGACGGGGGCGATCACGCACAGGAGGATAGACGGAGACCCACGCACGGAGGGGTAGGGAGGCTAATGACAGGCATCGGGGAGGGGACACACCATACACAGAAAGGGGGATGGGAGCACTGTCTACGGGGAAAGGGGGCGCGGGACACCAAGTGACCACGATATGAGGGGGCGAAGAATGCTTAGACAGACAAGGTAGGAATGAGACAGCGAGCATAACCAATACCAAGGTGAGATTGATGAAGTTCCTGGTCGATCTAAACAGATGTGGGTGACCACAGGAGGCGGTGATCGACGCGGTCCCTGGGGTGCAGGACCGGCTGTCGCGGTGGTCAGGGAAGTCCACTGGGATGGTAAGAGATAATCCCGGGGCAATGTTAGCCCACTTGGCGCACTGGAGACCCTTTGGGGCCGATATGGGTGAGGGAAGAGTTAAGACGGACGTCAGTAAACTAGAGCCATCACCGATATGCTTGGAAAAATAAATATCGCCGACCGCAGCATCACGATTCTGACACCCCGACACGAGGGTCTGCATTTGTCAGAGCTGCTGAGGATGCAGAGCTGTCAATGTGAATTAATGGTGCAAATTCAATCACAACTAGAGTTGAGCCAAAATCTGGCTCTGTCAAAACTGATTGTGTGACTGAGTTCAAAATAGTCAGACTTCAGACTCGGCAGCGATGAGCTTTTGCCGTGAAGATTGATTTCCAGGCCCAATCAAAATACTAGTTAGATATTAGCCCGACACGAAACATTGCTCGCAAAACATAGTAGCGCTGGGGATATGACAGGACTTACAGTTGTCCAAAATACTGCCTCTCTGCTCCCCAGCTGGTCCGAAACCCACGGTCTCACCACGAGCGTCGTGTCGGGAACGTGGCCACACCAAACACCCTCCGGTTTAGAGGACGGCCCACAAACAGTGCGCCGGCAATACACACGGCAGGTCGGCAGAGTTACGGCTGCCCAAACCAGCCACCAGTGCCACTCGGCCGAGACATACGCCCCCATCAGACCGCCGGCCAGCCGACCACACATTCACACCTCGTAATGTCGTCTAATTTGAAACCAGCGAGACGATAAGTACCCATTAGGGCGGCCACCAGCTGTCACAGCTGGTTGAAATTCCGCCGCCAGCGGCCACCAGTGTCGGGTCGGGTGGCACCACAACAGCGGTCTCTCGGGAGCGGGTCGGCGCGGCGCCGGAACACTGCACCGCAGAGCAGAGAGCGGCGGACGGGGTCCACCGGGAGCCGTACCAATAACGGCAGACCGCCGCCCCGGGAGCCACGACCACCGGCCGTCGGACTGCCGGTAACATGGCGGGGGGCGGGGCACCTAGCGACACCGGACAGCGGTGGCAGTGTGGTGGTGAAGAGTGAAGGTAGTGGCCACAATTCTCAGGGACCGATAACAGCACTGCTGACAGACTGAGCTAGCAGTGGATACGGCACATACCTACCACGCTCAGACCGGAGCCATCGTATAGTTCAGTTATGACTTTACCATGTAGTCATACTTCATAGCTGGCCAAGCATCTATGACTATCGTCGTACAGTTCGCCTCGCCAGTGCGGTAACGACAGACTGAGGGACGCAGCTACCAGGGGACCAGTGACCGCTGGTCAGCCATGGCCCATCGGTCAGAAGGCCAAGGCCAGACTACCCCCCCCCCCCTTCGGTCAGACCGGAGCGGGGTAGGGTGAGCCAATCCAGATCCAGCTCGGACAATGATGGAGGAGATGCAACGGCCATTGGGGCAATACAGCACAGGCAGGCGAGACGTGACAGAACACAGGGCAATGGGGCGATACTGTGGAGACAAGCCAGAGACAAGACGAGGCAGAGCAGACGAGGCAGAGCAGACGAGGCAGAGACAAGACGCAGACGAGGCCGAAGCGCTCCATCAGACCTGAACCAAATTAGATTATCGTCATCTCATCCTAATAAGCATGTGTAAGCGGCAGACGTGCATCATATCCACAGCTATAAGAACAGCCATACATGTCTCATAATCGCATATTTGCGGCCTGAATTTTACCGCTTTCATTTTCCTTCATATTTCTCAGCGGTCAGGTCGAGGTTTCCGAATTCCACCAGGTTCCAGCTTAGTGTCAACATCAGGATACCATTCCAGGGACAATTTCACACACGAATTATGGCCCACTTAAACCCAGCAAACCGTCGCGTAAACGGTCTTCAGCCACCCATTGGCAGAGGAATTATGGACAGTTTCACTGTAAAATACAGGTCCCGTCCGCCACCGCCATACGCGCCGTAATTCAAAAATAAAATGAGAAAGGTAAGGTTTGTCTCCAACAAATGAGCAGCGAGCAAAAATTGTTTTATCACCCCAGCATGTAAAACATAACAGCATCGATTATGGACCGTTAGCGACTGGATTGACTGATAGGTTGGAGCCAAAGATGCCGTTTCGCCGGTGACACATTGCCGAAAGAGAAATACCGACGCATCCCCAATCACTACCCGTAAGTATAAAGCTTGTATCCGACCACCCAGGCGGTTGGTTGGACGAAAGGTCTCTTATTCCCTACATCCGTCACACCTTTCCTAGTCGCCCATGCTGCGCGATATCAATTTCGACTCATTCCTCTGCGCTCCCTCTCATGCCTCTTCTTTTTCATTGCCCCTCCCTGGTCTTCTTTCGCCTCCTTCTCTGCTCTATTCTCTCTTCTCGCCTCTTTTCCTCCTCACTGCTCTCCTCTCGTCTTTTCTCCTGCCCTCTCCCGTCCAGCGGGCCGGAAGGGCGCGCGGACCGAGAACGACCGACGGCAGCAGAGCGGCGCGCTCGGTCGATACAAGGGTTTACTTGAGAGGCGCAGCGGCCGCCCCCGAGAGCCCTCGTCGCCGCGGGCACGGCCCCAGAGCCGGCCACGGAGACGGGCGAAACCTGGCGATGACGCCGATCGGAAAAAGTCTGATTTCTTGGAGGCAGAAAGGTATAATGATTGAATTATGTTACATAAATACATGGCTTTAGTGATCAAGGCCGTTTCAATATTTGGTTTGTGGACTCGTAGCATCGTGACAGGCGTGTAAACCCCTCGCAGAATATATGTACAGCCTGCGGCCCAGCACTGAAGCTCTCGGAGCCGGCGCTGGATCCCCGCCGTTCCCGCCGCTCTCCCAGAGTTCTCCGGTGACTGAGTCCGGTTCGTCTCGGCCCGTCCAGACGGCACAGCGCCACAGCGGCGGCAGAGCTCTAATGGAGCAGTTCGGGCGGTCGTAAAAACGGCGCCGGCTGCCGCCCGTCGCTTCTTCATGACACGGCCGCGCCGGCCGGCTACAACTATTGTTCCACAGGGACAGGCCGGAGAAAAGAACCGGCAGACAGCTAACACAGGACCGGGCAGACAGCGGCCGCGCAGGGCTGATCGTCCCTGAGAACAGCCAGTCAGCTGCTGATGACGCCCATGACGTCAGGCAGCCGGGATACGGGTCGCCGTGTGATCGGAATTCCGTCCGCCGTCGCTGGTTTAATGCAGGCGGGCCGTTCGGACGGCGCGGGACCGCTCTGTATTCACAGGGCGGAGTGAGCCGGCGACCGTCCGCCACCGGACCCAGTCGATAACCGTCGCCGGAGGGTTGGAGGCAACGCGGGGCACAGGCTTCATTGGCCCTGACTGCCGCCGCTCACATCTAGCCATCAGACATTGCGGCTATTTGACTACCGTTCCCGGACAGACCCGGCCCGGACCAAATCGTCCCTGCTCCCGCTTTAACCAGCTCCTCCACGCCTCCACCCGTACTGTACCGGGGCAGATCGCGACTGACCGGCAAACACACCGAATAATTCAGACGGTGGAGTTTCCGACGCCAACGCCCAAACTTCAGCCTCCATCGGAAAAGATCAACGAACTTTGAACTGAATCGGTCACCTGGGTGCGACCCATTGAGCCCGGAGAAGAGAAATGAATCGGACATTTACCAAACAAACCGACGGCGAAAAGTTTGCCGTCGCAGAGTAAAGTTCAAACCCATTAAAGCACACAGTCGAACGATCCGCAAACTGTATGATCACAATTCAAATTCCTGTCCCATACATCGTATTCCCACTCTCTACCCAGTCCCCTTCTCAACTCACCGACGCCGTCGAATTTCTCTCCGTCGACGAGGACGCTCATGCTGAATTTCTTGGCGTGCGGCTCGCCGGATTCCTCCTCGAGGTCGTACTTGAGGCCGGGCCGCAGCTCGTTCAGCAGCTGCACAGGGTTCTTGTCGGCCGGTGTGAGCGTCAGCCGCGGCCGCGGGGTCGAGCCGTTCGTACCCTGGTGGAAAGGCGGTGAGAGATCAGACTCAGACTCAGACGTGTATTAAGGAAATCCACTAAAAGCGGCTATTACATCCTCTCGTCAAAAATTAAAACGGTGGTTTCAAAGTCAAGATAAAGAGAGACAAGCATCACAATCACACTCGCATACATCATAGTCAAGATAATACAAGAAACATAGATACAGACAATACCAGCACACATACCCACACAAAAAATAAAACGGTGGTTTCAAAGTCAAGATAAAGAGAGACAAGCATCACAATCACACTCGCATACATCATAGTCAAGATCAATAAGGCGAAGGGTGATGCGATTCGAGTTTGCTTGCGTATGTGTGGAGGGACTGCAGGGAGTAAATGACAGGAGAAAGAAAAGCAATTGGAAGTGTCGAAAACATGCTTCGAAAACATGCTGGCCGGTACCAAACATGTTTCGATAACATGTTGGCCGTTGGGCCTGTTTTGCTAATATCAAAAGCACAGTTCAAACAGCAACCAACTCATTCCCACATCAAAGCGAGCGCCCACGCATTGCGCCACACTGATGTGACAGTCAGATATCGGAAATGAAGAGCCCGAGGCGTCATTGTGTCTGCCACGGTCCCAACTACCCTTCATTTTCAGCGGCACTCCATCGAATTGGCCTCTTGTTATCAGGCGGAGCAGTTAGGGAGTTTGACCGCCCCAAAGTTACGCGGCGCCCAACTTTGGGTATTGATCCGGAGCGTGAACATTGGCGGGCCGCCGATAAAACGCTCCAGTATGACCGATCGACTCGTATTATTCGGTAGCCCATATGTCACGAAGCGCGCTACTAGGCGATAAAATTAATGACCGGCCTCTGAAAGGCGGACAATTTCATGGCATTCGCATCGCCCGATAAGTACTCATAGTTCGGTCCAATTAGCTAGCTGACGTCGCGTCAGCGCCTGAAGGCTCGCAAGGCTACCTTACTGACCGGCCTGACAGGCGAGGAGCAGCAGCGGTCTCCCCGCCGCAATCTGCGCCCACTCGTGGGATTATGACCACACTACCGGGAGGCGGAGGAGAGCCTCCCCGGTCAGCCTGTTTTCTCTGCAAACACTGCCCGCGCACATAATCCCCGGCTCATCTGATGGAGAAAAAACGCCACGCCGCATGGTAGCTTCTTACGACCGACCCAATTTCTCAGAGGTTCGGGAGAAATCGTCTCTATTATTTTGGCAGTAATCCTGCACTTATAAACCTCCCAAAAGCCGTCTGACATCAGCTCCTTCCAATATCGACAGATGGGGACGAGGGAGGGACGGGGAGGGACACAGTCGTCAGATCAGCACTGCAGCCTCCCGGGGAGGTACGGCTCCCGTAAACAGGCCCACTGTTCTGTCGGCCGCCGGCAGCGACAGACGCCGCGCGTTAGTGGTCTGTTTATAGGCCGCCTGTAGCGCAGACACCCACTCCGCCTTCACCAGCCAGGAGAATGGGGACGAATGGATACTGGTGTGATCGCTATAGCAATGCAGTGGTCCGGACTTACATTTATAACTTTGAAGAAAGTAGGTTAGAGATGTCAATCAGATACCAACTTTTCGGTATATCGATACCGAGTCAATAACAACTTGGTATTTGGTATGTCAATCCTAGTTACTATCTACTCCACACTGTCCCGTTGCTACCGATACCGAACATCCCGCCCGCCAGTCGGGTCTGGAACGCACCTCGGCGCTGCCGTTGCTGTCGCCGTTGCCGACCGCCTTGTTGAGCACGAAGTCGCCGCAGCCGGTGACGCCCACGTCAGCCGTGAAGTCGGCGGCCGGCGCCGGAGGGTTGATGGCCAGCTGGAAGTCCGGCACGTTCTTGAACTGGATGAAAGAGCGGAGCGCCGCCTCGGCCACCGTCTGCTTGGCCTGCTTCTTGGAGCGACCCGTGCCGACAAACTCCTCACCATTCACCTGGAGCAGAGATAGAGAGACGGGGGTCAGACATGAAACTCTTTGTTATTTACCGAGCGGAGGAGGGGAGCGCAGTCATGTAAAATAAGCGGGCAGCCGTCAGTGCGCCGGGGTAGGAGCAAACAGCAGACATGTGCATGGATCCGAGAAAATGGATCTGGGATCTGATCCCACGGATCCTGATCTCGGATCCGACGGGATCATAGATCCAGCTCTGTAATTTATCGAAAGATCCGTAGGGGTCACAGATCCGAGTCTCATTTTTTTGCTTGAGATCCAGTGAGATCATAGATCCTCACTTATTTTTTGTCAACACATATATCCCAAAAAAGCACTTGTTTCAACTCACAAACGTTCTGTTTTAGTGATTTTATGTGATCGCACGTCATAATCCATAGTTTTGTGTCACTTATTGGCATAGAAACCCTTTATAAAATGGTTTCAAATGTGGTGCATGGTGGGATCCACTCAGATCATAGATCCAATGTCGTAATTTATCGTCAGATCATATGAGATCATAGATCCAAGATGTATTTTTCACGCCGGATCCGGTGGGATCATAGATCCCAACCTGTACTTTGCTTCGAGATCCACTGGGATCATAGATCCATCACTCAGATCCATGCACATGTCTGGCAAACAGCAGCACTGGAAAATAAAGAAAGGAAAGAGATCTACGAGGGATTTCCAAACTTGATCTCGCTGAACTGGAAAATAAAAGCGGAAAGGCAGATAATTAATTTTCACAGCCTCGTTACTATTCATTGTTTTCAGCTGAAGAACATCTATTCATTAAAAACAGCCGCCATCTCCAAGGAAGTTTTTTTTTTTGCATCACGGTTCACTTTCAGCAGGAAAGATTTTAAGGAATTCAACATCACGGTGGGAAAATAGCAATGATTAAAAATATGATGGTTCGAACAATCATTGCTGGGTCGATCACGTCTTTTATGCAGCACAGCAGATCCGTTTTCAGCCATCACAAGGCCACGTGCCTAGGGAAGTGCTCTCGCAGAGGGGGCCCTGCACCGTCCCGCGTCCGTCCGCGATGATTGGGTTCCACCATTGACCGGAGCAGAGTGGTCAGAAAGGCCCACTCTGCCGCCCATAGACGGGACCGGCCCGCCCCGGTCCGTCCGGCCGGCGGACACCGGGGCGGGGGCGGGGGCGGGGGCGGCTGCAGTGAGGATAATGAGCTGAGAGGCGCGCCGCTCCGGTCAGCCGGAGCAGCGCCACACAACGAGCGAGATGGAGGGAGACGGATCGCCACGGGAGATGGCAGGCATACAGCGAACTGGGATTACCTCGCGAGCGGAAAGGAGCTAGTTGTATAGATAAAAAAGAGCGAATGGGAGACGCAATGCAGCCGATCAATCTACCTCAACAGTGGAGAAGTCCCAGAATGAAGCACGGCCCCAGCACAGCGCCAGTAGCTGGACGTAGTCCAGGCTGTTCTCCGCCACCACCTTCTATTTCCTCAGAACAAAGCACCGACGGGCCAGGGAAGGCCGGGCATCGATTATCCGACACACCTATCCACACAGACGGCGCCCGTAACGAGCCACTCGTCAGGCCACTGACAATATTACTGACCTCCCGAGGGAGACTGACGTTTCCCCGATAACCAATTGGCTGAGCTGGGAGGCGCAACTTTTTCCTGTCATGGGGAAAAATCCAGAAAGAAATATGATTTTCCGGTAATCATACCTGTCTTTCATGGAGATATGACATTGTTTATCTCGACGGCTGCCGTTGTAAGAATTAAGAAAGGTTGGGGTAAAATCATCCCTGTAGTCGTCTTGTAGACAGAATTGACGCTTTCTCGCTCACTGTAGCTGCTGTCCAAAGAAAGGTCGCCGTTTTTCCAGCTCCGGTAGCTGCCGTCCGGTGGTGACTGACGTCGGCTGTGTTCGGTCGATGACCCGACACGGCCCGGCGGAGGTAACGAGCCACTCGTCTGGGAGGCGAAAAGAGAATCGAGCGGACCGGCTGAGACAGACCAGATGACTGTGCCCTCTGTAGTCCCCAGCTCAATACGGAGAGGAAGACCGATAATGAGCAATCGTTGACCGATAATGAGCAATCGGCGGCTGTCCAATGTCAGGCGATGGGTCATAAATCGCCAAGAAGTCAGAGGTTTTTGTCGATGTGGTTTCCGTGTCAATAGCGGCAAAGATGGGGAAAATATAGTGGTGGCTATGCCTCAATTGAAAAGAACCCTGATGTTGACAGTCGCCGATTTCTCAGACTGCGAGCGGTCACAAAACGACGCCACCGGAACTTGACGCGACCGCTGTCGCCCCCAGGCGCGCAGTTCGTTATGAGCAGCGCAGCACAAAAAGCCGGGATCGTGGCCCGCCGTCGGGCGTCACCCCGAACTGGCGTCGGCAGAGCGACCATCCGTCACAGCCGGCCGACAATGAGAGCCGCCGACCGGCTGACACGGCCGGCGCTCACAAAAGCCGCCACCGGCCGCGGTCGGTCAGACGGCACGGTCTTTCCCGGCGGCGCCGCGCCAGCGCGACAGACGAGAGCCGCTCTCCAAACGGCGGCGCGCACTGACCTGACGGCGAACCCGGACAGTGATTCATGTCGGCCGCGAAGCCACGTCGCCACCGCCGGCTGAAACGTGCGCCGTTCCGCTGCGTGAGTGATTTATCCATGATGACAAATGTCCCCTCATTTGGAGCGGGCGACGCAATAAAATACATCAGACGTCGCGCGAATCTGAGTAAATTTCGCCATCCAGCTCTGACGGCGCGTCACCGAGCAGGCCTCTGGGAGAGCGTCAGCCGACCGGGCGGACCGACAGACCGACGGACGGGCGAGCGGCACCGGCAGACGGGCGAGCGGCACCGGCGCACGGCGGCGAGCCTCTGCACGCCGTCCCCGGAGCCCTAACCAGATTACGCCCGCCGATCTAGAGCGGTTGCAGATCCTTTCATCAGACCTGCCAGCTACCAGCGCTGGGATAACGCCTGTCTCTCTGCTCGTCCCTGCGAGAGGCTGCCGGCGGCTCGACTGGAAGGGTGCCGGAATCGCGAGAATGACGCACATAGATATACAGCGACGCAGGCCCCACGACCAAGTAAAAGACAGCCAACTCAAGACATGCTCAAGACACGGGTTTGATTAACGATCACGGGTAACGATAGATGAAATGGCCTGTCCAGCGCCCCTACGGCGCTGTTAAACCGTTCCCAGCTCGAAATCTGGAGATGCTTTCAGTGCAGCCCCCGTCACGACTTCTTTTCTTAGTAGAGCAGGGCTTTTCTAAACCCAGATCTTTTTGAAGTTCAGCATTCTTACCGCTAAGACCTGGGCTCAACGGGGCAGATTACATAAGACGACTCTGTACACAATGACCCCATCGGCTTACTAACGTCCCAAGCGACCTCCGTCGGGCGTCGCCTGGGTCCGGTTTGGATGCATATAAAGCATCACCGCGCCCTGGGGACCATCTCCGGGCCGGCGGCGGCAGGACCACAAATCCTGCGGGTCTCCAATCAGGACAGTCGGGCGGCTCAGCGCACCACGTCCGACGGACGACCAGAGACCGCAGGCCGCTGCAGGGTAGGACCGGGTAGTGGACGAGCGCGGATATGTGCTTCGTCAGCGGAGACAGAACTGCCCGCCAGCGACAGGACGGCAAAAACGGAGAGTGGACATCTGCGAATGCCACGACCGCAGACACACGGGGGGGGGGGGGAGAGGGGGGCCTTGCGAGATCCCGCGGGATGACCGTTTACCACCACTCATGACCTCAGAATGAATGATGATTACCGGTCTGCTATTATAAGACTGCTAGTAACGGTCAATCAACAACTGTCAACATAAATTAATAAGTCCAGCAATACTAAACGGAGGACTACAGGTCAGTAGTCGAGGATTGATAGCAATGCCAGTGCTTTGCATTAGTTTCCAGATATTCAAACTGTTGCGGCATGTCATGTAACTTGTAAGATAGGGAATAGGTATCGCGTTGGCTCAGTTGCCAACCCACCTGGACCCAGCCCCTAGCCTGGCGTCTTCAACCTACCTCAATCTGCACAGTGAATGTGGGCGCGTGCGTGGGACCCTCCTGTTGGATGACTTTGTACTCGAGGCCCGGCTTCAGCTCGTTGAGCGCTGAGACGGCGTTCTTGGGCTGGGCCGGTCCAGTGCGCAGTTTTTTACGCCGCTGAATGTCTGAAAGACAGGGATATCAGAGGTTAGAAGTGCCAGACGAATCAAGTCGGGTGAAAAAACATAAGGTAGGACGACAGACCGTAACACACAGTACACATCACAGCAGCACCAACCTCTGCCAACATTTCCAGTAAGCAAACACTTTCGAACGCAGTAGGGGATATTGTTTGGCAAAGTTGCTTGGTGAATACGCGACTAAGCTTTGTTTGCGATTAACACGTCAGCCCTCCAATTCGTTATTCCAGCACGGCCCACGCGTTGCGTGCAGCTATGCAGCGTGTTTAACAGTCAGCGACGGGCAATGCTCGCTGTATGGTGGCACTAGGCTCCTCGGTACCTGGCGTTGGCAGTGGGTACACGGCCGGCACTTGAGCAGAATTCAAACAGGGCAGGATGGCGGTATCACAAACAGCGGGTGGAGCTGCGGCTGTGACTTAAACGCCAGGGGGAAGAAGGATGGCAGGGGAGCGCAAGGGAAGGTGGACTGAGAAGGAATGTGGAGCACCCCAGCGAATTAAAATCCACAAACAGCTTTCGGTTCTCTGGGATATTGGTGCTTCGAGTACTCACGAACTCTTGCACTGTAAATAATGGAGTTTACAATAGACATTTTGTTTAAATACTGGTACGCAATTAATCGTTTGAATAAATACCACCAGCGCTATTCATATTCGAACATAAGATACCAATTTTACACCACAGGACTGCTGCAACTGCTGCAGAAGTCAGCTGAGCTCATTTTCGTACTACTATTATAGCATGTGACCTTGTCACAGGATATTGTCCGACGTAAGTATCTGACAGGACTTTAGAAGCGCTCCTCCTTAGGCTTAACAGAGCGGATATTGGAGGCCGAATGGAGGAAATCGGGCACTTCCATCCATCGGGGAACGTCTCATCACCAATTCAGGCTTTGGTCGGCTGCAATCGAGCGCTCGCAGCTCCTCCAATACCGGCTGACGGCCAGATAAAGGCAGGCCGATTGGCGGTGGGCCACCAGACCAGCCAAATGTGCCCGCCGCCGAGCCCGTCTGATCAAAGTTTAGGTATTCACCGCACCGACCCAGCCGGGGACGGAGAGAACAGACATCAGACAGGTAAGTAGGAGCGCAGAGCTGGACCAGAGGGCAGTCACCAAAACTGGAGTAGGACGGCATCTCTGTGGCCAAGGTACCGGCAGCGGCGCTGTATCATCGGGAGGTGAGCCGTCACAATCGGGCGGTGAGCCATCACCCAATGCACCACCACACCACGCACTTTCACAACGGGTTGGCGAGCGAATGTTTAATAAATGTGCTACGCTTACTCTGCAATGCAGAAAATCGAAGCGGTTTCGCAACGCATAGGAGTCGTTAAGTGTATGCTTCCATTCTCCGAACTCTTCAATAAAAGAATAAAATAATAACAATCAATAAATAAATCACGACAAATTTGGTTTCCCAAATTTGTCGTGATTGAATTGATTGCTATTGATTGAGTCGTATACAACCCTGCATGTAAGATAGGGAATAGGTATCGCGTTGGCTCAGTTGCCAACCCACCTGGACCCAGCCCCTAGCCTAAATAAACTTTATTTAGCGCGCTAAATAAAGTGTCTTAAGGAATGAGGCGGCCTGGCATCATAAAATTATTCGTAAATTTCCACATCATCACTCACAGTACTTAGAAGACAATATGTAGCTATCCCTCAGTGAGGGCAACCATTAATATACCAGCCAGTAGGCCGAAACACGTCCCGACTAGCCCACCGCCGATGGGACCACAGCGCAGAGTCAAACGTTAAAACTTTACCTTTAGGACGCCTACCGTGCAAGCCACTCACTCGACGGCACCTAAGCGAGGTAGGCGGTCGGTCGATAGGCTCTAAACGGTCACTCAAGTTAGTGGCCGGCAGACCCGCACTGCACCGCAGGGTGGACCGAGATCGATACGATCACGCAGCCCACTCGCACTCCACACCCGACTGGAGTGGCCGAATTCGATACTCCAGGATCCAGGGACGGGTCAGAATGCAGGCGCCAGGAGCACAGGGCAGTGGGGACATCCACGACACGCCTACCACACAAGGTAGTAAGAAAAAAGTAAGGATTGCAGCCAGACACTGAAGTCTGTGAGGCTGGGTTATTATTAATTCAACAGTTCTGTACTGCTGGGTTATCATTCAGCAATCCGGGGAGTCCCGGGTAAAGACATTTGAAAGTGAAACGTGCAAAATCAAGCGTGTCAGCCACTGCTCATTACATGCAAAATGGAGAAAAAAGTATGTCCTGTCATGTCCACTCATAAGGAATGCAGCCATGAATCAAGGCATGGCTACGTTATCAATGAATCATGGATTAAAGCTATTTTGATGGAGCTGAAGGCTGCAAACTCGAGACGCATCTGTTCCCAGCAGAGATAAGTCATCCAGCCTGGCAAGTATGACGTCAATGAGGATACCGGCACCGGTTTCTCCAGATAGTTTACAAGGCAAACAAACATTTGATAACTTGATACCAAACGAACGATACAACCAGCTAGGGTCGAGATTTCAGAGCAGCTCCGACTGTCCGGCCCAGAGGGGATCCTCAGCGACATCCGTCGCCAGGAGATATGGCCCGGACAGGGGCCATTTCTCCGGCGGTGCCTTTCGCCCGCGCACGAAGGCTCCCCACAGATTAGAGCGACTGCGTCTGGGGACGGCACTTCAGCGACGGACGGCGGCGCTTTCGGCAAGGGAGGCGAGCTATCGGCCACGGTACTGACACCAATTTCGGCCACAAAGACGGCGAAGGGCGGCGGTCGAGCGGCCAGACCACAATTTGCCCATTTCTAGCGGGACAAAGCCAGCAGAGGAGGGCGCTGTGGACGGTGCTCGGTGCCCAGCCTGTCACTGAGCGCGGAGAGCCGACAGCGAGACACTCACCGGCCGTCGGAGCGGGTGCCGGCGGCGGCGGCGGCTCCTGGTGGAACGCACACCCCGGCTCATCGGCGAGCTCGGGCCCGGTCGGCTCCGGGTCACTATCGGTCGCCTCGGGCGCGGCCCGCGGCACCGTCCGAGTCACACCCATGGTCGCCGCCGGCCGGCGCCGCCGCCGCGGCCCCACTGACAGCGGCGGCGGCGGCCGGCGGCCCAGCGCGGCTGTCCCCCGGGTAACCGAGCCGGCCGGCCGACCACACGAGGGAGGCGTTAGGGCCGGCCGCCCACCCCGGCCGTAAACCCGCTCCCGATGGGTCCGATGGTCGGCCGCGACGTTAGCGGCGACGCTACGGCCGCCTGCCCGCTACACCGCCCGGCCGTCGGCCGTCAAACGGCGGGTAATGAACCATGAACCGCCCGCCCCATCCCCAGCCCGGACACACCGAGTGGCGCTCGTAATCAAAACGCCATGTGACTTCCTAATCGCGGCACCAAGAGATGTCGATAGGAAATGGTCCGGAAATGCTCAGAAAACGAATAGCTACTGCTAAACAGTGGGGCTGACGATGCAGTGGCGTGGGTCCAGAGACTCGTACTCACTGTTATTGGCATCCGCTGACGAGGCGTCCGTCGCCATGTCGGCCGTGTCGGTGGAGATCATCGACGCCGTCGACGCGTCCGGCTCCTCGCCGGTCTCATCGTCATCGACGCGCAGTCCGAGCAGGAACTCTGCCGTCTGCTCCACGACGGCGACCGTCTCCGGCGCCGGCGGCGCGTCGCCATCCTCCTCCTCAGCCGCCGGCGAGTCGTCCTCGGGCGTCGACGAGCGCGTCGACTCGTCGTCTGAGCCGACGCTGAAGCGGACCGGCCGGACGGGCGGCAGCCAGGGGTTGCCGGTAGGCTGCTGATGCAGCGGTGGTGGCGGCGGGTCGGGCTCGGCTGGCTCCGGCGGGGTGGCGGCGCCGTCCACCGGCAGTTCGGTGATGCGCACACCGCTGTCGGGGTCCGGCCAGGGCGCGCCGCCCGGAGACGGTGGACAGCAGAGCGGCGGCGAGAGGGGCTGCACCACCAGCGGCGGCGGCGGCTGCGGCGGCGGCGGAGCCGAGGCCACGGCCACGAAGGCGCCCGGCGGGCAGATTCCGGCCACCGGGCACCAGCCGCAGACCAGCGGCTCCGGTCGCTCCGGCTCCCCGGCGCCGTAGCGTGGGTAGAGGGCCGCTCGGTCGGGCGCCGGTTCCGCGGCCGACGCACTCACCCGCTGCTGGTAGTCGTGGTGGAACTGCGCCGCCAGCTGCTGCTGCCGCTCCAGCTGGTACTGCAGGAGACCCTGCTCCCGCTCGTACTGCTGCGCCAGCAGCTTCTGGCGCTCGGCCTGCTGCTGCGCCAGCTGCTGCTGGTAGTGCGCCAGCGGGTGGCGCTCGGGCTGGTACTGCGACACCTGCAGCCGTCCCTCGGCGTGCAGCTGCCGGCCGCGCTCCTGGTAGTGCGCGGAGGGCTGCAACTGCTGGTGAGAAATGTAGTTCATGATCTGCTGATGCTGCTGCTGTTTCTGATGCTGATGAAGGGAAAGTTGCGCCATAGCCTGCTGCTGCTGCTGCTGCTGCGGCTGACACTGTTGCTGCTGCTGCGACACGACGAACTGCTGCCGCCGCGCTGCCGCCATCCGTAGGTAGACTTCCTCGAGGCTGGCGGGCGGTGGCGGTGGCGGCGGCGGCGGCCGATGCGGGGGCAGTGGCGGCGATGGCTGCGCGGCGGAGAGCGGCGGGTAGCTGGGCGCGACCGTCACCGCCGCCGCCAGCGTCGGCAGGCTGTAGGCGTGCGGCAGCAGCAGCGGCGGACGCTGCGGCTGCTGCTGAAAGCGACGCTCATTTGGGTCACAGTCGCGCGACTTCAGACTCGTCGGGTAGTTGCGAAATTCATTGTATGAGGCTGTCTGCGGCAGTGGCGCCCCACCAAACACCATCCCGGCATGAGAGTGGGACGGCGCCGGAGGCGGGGCCGATACCCCGAAGCCGGGCACGGAGGCTGCCGGATGCGCGGACGAGTAGGGCGGGTTGAAGCCCGGCGGCGGGTAGCGGTAGTGCGAGCCGCAGGCCGACTGCCAGGCGGACTCTGCCGGCGGGCTCGCCGGGAGGGACGGCCTCGGTCCCAGCGCCGGCGGACGCCACTCCGGCGACGGCGGCGACGACCGCATGCGGCGGAACCTAGGAGGGATCTCCCGCATTTTGAGCCGCGGCAGCTCCGACTGCCCCCAGTCGGCCGCCGCCGACGGCCGCCACGGCGCCGACCATACCTCGTCCGAGCTGGCGCTCGACCGCAGAGCACTGTTGACGTACACACGGCTGCGAAATCCAGTGGCGGCGGGCTCCTCGTGGCATTCGTCGTCCTCTTCTGACGCCTGCCGGGACCGGTCGTGCTGCTGCCAGTGCGCGCGAGGCTCGGCCGGACCCACCCAGTGCCGCATTTTCAAAGCTACTGAGCGGCCGGCCGGGCCGCCGGCCGAGCCGGCCTTGGCCTCAGGGCGGAAGGCCACGTGACCTGGCCGGTGGCGCTCGGACCAATCACAGTGCGCCGTTGGGATTGACCTCCAGAATCAACGCTAGGGTCGAAACTCGCCAGCAAAACAGGCGAGGACAGGCGGACTTGTAGCCCGGTTTGCCATCGATCGCCAACGGGACACAGGAGCACGGGACCTTGACCTTTCCGTAAAGCTCACTATATACATACAGCGTCACAAGACCCAACGTGATCTTCAACAGCTCAAGTTTTCCACATTCTCCAATATCATCAACCTTGTAGCGGAGGAAACAAACAATACCGTCCCGATCCCCTGATAAACGATATTTTGCGAGCCGACTAGTAACTCAATAATGTTCAATAGATTATTATCGATTTTTTTTTTAAACAGGCACGAAGCAGCCTGAATAATTTGTAAATGGGGATATAAATAATTGTTTAGTATTTTATTTGATTCATATTAATCCTAGAGTTGATAGGGCACTCAGCATTACGTAACCTTTCAAGATCTGACAAACGAATTGCTTTTTTAAAGGTAGAAGATATATCTACACAAACAAGAGCAGGATGAAACACAAAAAGTAATGCGCAGCACCCTGTGCAAATGGCAAGCGTTTCGCATTTCTTGAGCTGTCTTTGATTCAACCATTTACCTGCAGCTAAAATCTTGCTACAATAATCAACGCAAAATGTTGCAAGAAGTTGCAGCCTTATGACATTATTATTCACCAAAATATTGCTAGTCCTAAAAAGCAGTTACTTATGTAGTCCGGCGTACGCCGTCTTCACAATGTCTTTGATGACAATTCTATGAAATTCAGATGCCGCAAATAGGCTAGTAGGTAGGTAGGGGAGAGTGGGGTAAGATGCCCAGGGTGGGAAAGACGCCCCACCCCCTCTAGCGACGAAACAAAGAATCGCACCTGGAAATTAATGTTCTTAGCGTAAAGCGGAAGCCTGCCTTGTTAACTGCACAAAAATTTGCGAAGCTCAGTTGGGCAACGGCTGGCTGGTGATTGCATGTTTTTTATTTGCTGCTTTCAAAAAATATTTTGGTGTCAAAACATTATAAATATCAAAGAAGGTAGATAATTTTTGCGTCCCTTGCTATAGTCGTGATACATTAACATGCGTGTACTGTGTCCCAAACAGTTTGTTTCAGGGTGTAGTTTTATGGCTAACAAATTGTACTGATTTAATGTCACTTCGGCACCTTGGGGTAAGATGCCCCCTGTCCTGATGGGGAAAGACGCCCCCCAAAATCCGTAGGCTGTCCTTCAAGCAGCCCGTCAAATCATTTATTACATACTTGTGATGAGAGACAAAAGCCGATCTGGGACTATTGAGAGTCCAGTACGGTCGGGTGCTCCCCATGCCGGTCTCTCGGCCCACACAGCGACTTTTTGGGCGGCATCTGACTCTGAGAGCCCTCACGACGGCCTCTGTGGACCCCATTATTGGCTCCAGGGCCCCTCACGACATCCTTTGAGGGCTCCCACGTTGGCTCCACGGGCCGCGCTGGCATCTGAGGTCCCCACGATGGGCTCGAGGGACCTCAAGCATCATGAAGACCTATAAGGGCCCGACAGTGGTCTTCGAACGCCACCACGGAGGCTTGTTTGGCCGCGCTGGACTATGATGGCCCTAACGATGACCTCTGAAGCCCCTTACGACTACTTTTGAGGGCCCTTACGATGATGTTTGGTGTCTACTGCAGGCTCGAAGAGACTACTGATTCGTTCAGGCGATTCACGTGCCCATTTATGTCACTTAAATTGCAGGGGGCATCTTACCCAACGCCAGGGGGCGTCTTTCCCACCCTGTGGGGTAAGATGCCCCCTTTCACTTCTTCGGGAAAATGCTTAATAGCAAAAAAAGTAATCATATTTCAGGCACGAAACGGTGATATTTTTGGAGAAAAATGATGTTGGCTTCCGTTGAAACTCCAAGTTTTTGCTTTCCGATCGTCATTTTCGAATAATATATGACATAGCAAAACCCTGGGCATCTTTCCCCACTCTCCCCTACTTCTTTAGGTAGAATTAATTTAACTAACATTTTTGGAAAGTAAAGCACTGAACTGCACGAAACATGATATTCAATATCTACACTTATCATCAAGCAGGTGCAAAATATCAATTAAAGTGAAACTGATAAAATATATCGCGCAAAAAATACATTTGTAAGTAAAAGCCCCACGCCTGTCTGCTCATGGCTAGACTTGGACCGCAGACAGGCTCACCGGAGCGAGGTCGGCGGGGCACGACCTCACTGTGAATTGCCTCGGGCACAGTGGAGACTGGCAGCTCGCTGGCTGGACCCGGCAGTCGCAGGATCCAGAGCCCCGCCGTGATAGGTGCACGCTTCGGAATAACAGAGGGCTGAGCTACGATGTAAAGTAAAACACTAGCTAAAGGGAAGGCATTTAGAACTTTGATTTTTTTGTTCGCCTTAATTTTACTTCAGACTTTCCGTAAAATTTCAGAGTTTGCAAAAATACAGTTTCAGTTACAGAGCGAACTATTCCGCTCGAAAACTTCTTCCAAATAGCTCATTATACGCATAACTGACAAGCGAACCAGTAAAGAAATGCGTAGCCAATAAATCGCTGACCATCGTAACAATGAGCATTGAGCATCTTAAGTCAGGGGCGCGGGAACTACTTTCAGACTGGGGGGGGGGGGGGGGGGATACCATAATAGAGATCGACCTAGGGTACCCCCAAATCAAGTTTTCTCATCGGTTTTAGGCCACTTATTTTTCATCGCATGGCTTTTTCAACAAAAAAGAAAACATTTGCAAAAAAGTGCGGTATTTCGTCTCAAAGTTGAGCTAAAGTGAAAGCTTACACAGTCAGCTAAGCCCTTTAGGTTGCAACATTCAGCCGAAGAGTGGCCACTGGCCAGCGATCGTTGCCACCCAAGTTCAAATATATCCCACTAGTCCGGCTGTGATGATGGCCCACTCCGTCGCGGGCTCCGTCCTGTGACTGTCGTGTCGGCCGTCACATCTCCGTCACTCCGTCACGTCCCGGTGACAGTGGCGCGACTAACGACGTGTCGGCGTGTCAGCGGCGCAGCGATGAGCACGTCACGAGCTTCAGCTATTGACAGATGTGTCTGATCAGGTGCGAGCGCACTGAAATCCGCCCAATCTGTCACGAAAAATATCAAGGGGGCAGCCTTGTGGGCAATAACTGGAAAGAGGCGCAATAAGCAGCCATGGCGATTGGCGCCTGACATTTCTGAGTCGCACAATTAAAATACCGAAAAAGAATTACAGGCCACTCCACATTTATATCCCATTGTTCCTTGCGTGTGATTTTAGGGCGCCCGGCCGAGGCCGGACTTCAGAGGTCATCGGAGGCACAGGCAGCCTTCACTGCCAGTCGAAAATTGAAATGTAACCAACTGCTGGCAGAATTGCTATTTAATGCCGAGCTCTGAACTAAATTTTGAAACGCGATCTGTGTAATTACGGCACTTGGCTGCAGATTGTTTAGTTATAAATCTGACACAACTTCCAGCGGGAATCTGCACATTAATCATCTAAGAGTGGGGAAAATTACCGTACAGGCAGCCTGGTGGAAATGAGCTGAGGCAATTTCGGGCCAATGAAATATGAATTTTAAATGTAAGGGGCTCTCTATGCACAGAAGTGGTAAAAGACTCCGTCTAATGACTCAAAGTGATATCGGATTAAAAAAAAAAAACGGCGACATGCTTCCGCGCTGTCGGTTTCCGGCAGCCACACCAAAATTGATATTCAGACGACATACCTATCAGATACATGCTTGCTGTGGAACTGAGTGCCACTGATATAGTCGAGTCCACGGTGCTACGGCATATGAGCTATTTCGCGTGTATCCAAAATCGCACTCAACAAAAAAAATCAAACAATATAAATTTTACTCGACACCGTTTAGAAGTCAGCACAGTAGAAACTCAGGCTCTTTATTTCACCCTTCTGATTAAACTTGAAAATATGGGACCTAATCGAGCGGTTTCTGTTTAACAGAAAGCAATACCTGTCTGCGCCCACAGCATAAATTCATTTCAGGTTATTATATGCGACAACGACATTAACCTTTCTAGGCCGCCCACAGACACCCCACTGGGAGCCTCGGGGCGCGTCCCGGGGTGGCCCGGGGGCCGGTGATCCGACGCCGATCTGAGGGGCCGCCAGGCGCGGAGGAGGGCCGGCCGACACGCGCTGACAGCTCGGAATGGATCGCACCGCCGCCTGAAGCCGTGATAAATCTCTCCGGCGCAGCGAGGAGCTGTGACGCCGATGGGGCGGCAAAGGTGGCAGAAAACGGTATTCGCCGCAGAAGCGCCACTCGTGTTTCTCCGAGACAG